TTCAAAGTCCATTTACTTTCATGCAATAGAAATAGGTCACTTCAAACAAATCAAAACCCCCCCCAATGTGTGTGTGAGTTGCGTGTTTGACACGTTATGTGTCTTTGTTACTGAATTTTATTTGTTTCCATAATTGTTTTGGACTTTTGGTCTGCGTTGTATTCTTCCATTTTCTGTGCTGAATCCAACCGTATAAAGAACGTGAATTTTGGACGTACGGTTGGAAAGTTATAGGTCAAAAACTAGACAGAGGTCGAAACTGAAAAACAGAGAAAATGGCTCTGTGCAAAAACGACCGGTCGCTCATCACGTCAAAATTTGAGTTTCGACTCTGCCCAAAAACGACCGGTCGCTTTTACCTGCCGACCGGTCGCTCATCACGTCAAATTTGAGTTTCGACTCTGCCCAGAAACGACCGGTCGCTAGTGTCTCACGACCGGTCGCTCAGCACACAATTCTGAAATTTCGATTCTGTGAAGAAACGACCAGTCGCTGGTTACTGTTCACAACACACTTCCTTTTTGTTTTGTTTGTTTCTTTTACATTTCTTTACTTTCTTTTTAGTTTCAAATTTGCATTTGTGCATTGTGGTGTGTTAATTAAGTGTTCTCTTTGTACTCGAATTAGAACTTATATGAAACCGACAAGTTCTTCGTGGGATCGATCCCGTACTTACATAATCTACACTTCTTTAGATTCGTGCACTTGCGGGTATTTTTAATTGGTTGTTTGCACATTAATTTGTGTCCTTTTAGGAATGCAACAGTAGTGGGCAAAGGTGTTCCAAAAGAGTCCGCTGCATTTTTTTTCAGAGTCATCACTTCTATAGGTTTGACACTCCCATCCAGAAAAGCTGTTTTCATCAATTCTGAAAGAGAGAAAGGACGAAACAAATTAAAGAAGAAAACTTTAGCCTAGAAAATTGAAAAAAGTCTTCAAATAAGTTGAAAAGTTAAAAGAAAGACAGATACAGGAAGTCACTGTATAATCACTAGTGTTGTGAAAATTGGCTCGCATAAAGGATACAAGCTTCGGAGACAGAATAGGGAGCGATCGGTCGCCCGTTTCAAGCGACTGGTCGCAGGAGACTTTGCCTAAAAGCGATCGGTCGCACGAAGCAAGCGACTGGTTGTTTTCAGGCAGATTCGAAGTCTGGAGCGAAAACTTCTGGCGACCGGTCACCAGCTTCATGCGACCGGTCGCTTGCGACTCTGTGCAAAAACGATCGGTCACCCAGTACTAGCACATGCTGTTTCGGATTTCTCGAGTTTTGAACTCTAATTCAAGGGCTATCGCCTCCCACCTACTTGCAAGGACCCTAGGGGTCACTTCTGAGTCAGAAGAACGTTGGCAATCAGTTGGGAGGTTTGAGGAAGCATTGAAGGACATTGGAAGACTTGTTTCAAGGTGTAGCTATTGGCAATCAGTTGGGAGGTTTGAGGGAGCATTGAAGGACATGGGTTGACTTGTTTCAAGGTGTAGCTACCCTATGGTTCTATATAGGGTGGCTGCACAAGTAGCCATCAATACATAGCTTGTGGCTGGCCTAACCTGTGGTCCACGTCAGGTATTCAAGGGCAGAACGTGGGAGACAAAGCAAGGGTCTTCCCTCAAGTCTAGTGGCTTATGTATTAAAGGAAAGAGGGAGCAAGTCTGAACTAAGTAAGAGTGTTAGAGAGAGTTGGAAGAAAAGTAGCTGGGAACTAGTGAGTCAAGAAGATGAGAGAATTCTCAAGTGTATCAAGGTGTGAGAAAGGGTGAGAGAGAAACAAATTGTGAGGGTAGTGTTCTAAGGGGGTTTCTGTGTAAACCAAAGTTGTAACCTATCTTCATCAGTGAAATTTCTCAAGGGGATCACCAAAGAGGATGTAGGCAAATTGCTGAACCTCTATAAACACTTGTGTCTTGTGTGCTTGATTATTTTCTGTGTGTGTGTGTGTAAGATTCATCTATCATTGAGTCTTGTCCAAAGTTCATCAACAACAAGGTCTAAAGGGGAGTGAGTTGGTTCTAATTTACAACAACTAGGTACTAGTATAAACTACAAACGGCTAACTATTAAGAAGGATACGGGCCTTATATTTCATAAATGCTATATAACATAATGTACTTAACTCTTTATGTCGCTTAGCATGCAATAGAACACAAGAGAGCACTGCATCAGCAGCTTCTGCCAAGTGCTCACTCAAATAACTCAAAAACTTGACAGTTGTTGCATTTGATGGCTCTGCAAACATCCTTTCAATCAACAGCCTAATCAAGACGTCCCAGCTTTGAACCTGTGATAATCCAATAGATAACAGAAGGATCATGCCGCTGAAACTTTGTACGAAGCAAATGAAGAAACGACCAAAATTTGAGGTTTCATTTGAAAAGCATGAAAGAGATATAAAACATATTGTGGTAAAATCAATCTTACACTTTTAGACCACTCTGGGATCAGCCTAAGCACTCGATCACTCTCAAAGTTCGATCCTGCAAGTTGCAAATGGAAGAGCTCAATTTCGAAATAGTATTTGGCAATAATAGAATTAATAATTAGAAAATTTAACTATGAATACCTGATGCTCAATCGCTCACCACAAAAATGGAAGAGGAAAGCAAAACTAAGCTTCAAAACTACCTCAATACTGTTACCAACTTCCAAATCTTCGGTCCATTTAAAATCCACAAGAAAAAGATAAAAACAAAAAAAATATCATAAAGGAAATATATGTTCACACAAAAATGTACACAACTGAAAACAGACAAAACAATAAGGGTGAAGGATCTGCCAAAATTATGTGCCCATGATTTGCGTAGGGAAGCTGGAAATTCTTGAGAACCAAGCCAACACAATAAGAAGGAATGTCAACCTGCACAAATAACAATGACAATGGTTGATGTGCTATTCGAAAGTCCATAGATACGTCATTCAATTTAATATTCTATTTTCTTGTTTATTTCACAAAGCTAAAGTTCTGACATGTTATATCTTCACATTAGGATCGCAGAGGGAGCGCCGCAGGTTCGAGTAGCAACCATCACATACTATTATGAGAGGAGCATGTGCAGTCCGGATTTATACTGCACCCCTTTGATAGTACCCTTTTCTTCCAGCAGAGATGTCACTTTTCCTTGTTCCAATCCTACACTAACGTCGAAAATTTTATAAAGGAATGAATGAGATTGTCCAGCAGAGATGTCACTATTCCATTTTCCAATCTTATACAGTAAAAAACATGTTATGTTGCGAAGCTGTGAATCTGCACTATCGGTGATGTGGAATTGTTGTTTGAACGTAGTCTTGTAACTTAAGAAAACATTAAGAACCCTAAGGATTATGGATAAGCAGTCAAAGGGCCTAGCTTTAGAGCAGAAACAATCCAACGTTGTATGACAACACCATTCTATAGATGCTGATAAACGTAACAATTAAAAAAGTAAAATAATGTGAAGGTGCAAAATGAGTAATGAAGATGATAGTGCCATATTGCCACCCTCTGAATTTAATTTAATTGTTATTGTCTCTTCAAGACTTCAACAACACGTAACAAGTAAAACTAATATCGGTATATATCTATGTTGTGAAAATGGACAAACACTTTCACTCACTCCCCTAATGATCTTGTTGTTGATGGACTTTGTGACAAACACAATAATGGATGAATCACACACTCACACACTTTAGAAATCAACCAAGCACAAAGTGACACAAGAATTTATAGAGGTTCAGCAATTGCCTACATCCTCTTGGTGATCCCCTTGAGAAATTCACTAATGAAAGAATAAGTTACAACTTTGGTTTACAAAGAAACCCCCTTAGAACTCTATTCTCTCCCAAGCGCTCTTTTCTCTCTCACCCCTTACTCAACACTTTGATGCACTTGTGAATACTCTCTCACACTTGGTGTTTCCCTTCTTTGGTGTCTAGACTACTCAAGACTCAACTCAGCTCTCTCTTGAACTGATTGCCTTCTCTCTCTTCCTCCCTTGGTGAGATAACCTCCCTTTGAACACAATAGCTCCCAGCTACTTGACAAGGCTCCATCTTTTCCTCCCACGTTCTCCCCTTGGTTTCCAGACTTGGACCACAACTTGGGCAGAACAAAGGCTAGGCATAGATAGCTGCAACTTCAGCCACCCTATCTAGAGCTATAGGGTAGGTACTCTTTGAAACAAGTCAACAATCCTCATTCAATGGTGCTCCAGCTTTTCCAGCACCTTGCTAGACCTCCTAGAACCCATAACACACCTTAGAGGCCCGAGGGATTAGGTAGGGAACCAATACATGTGAAATGCACCTTGAAAAACGCATGGAAAAACGACACAGCACGTCTGGCGACCGGTCGCACGTTCCTGGCGACCGGTCGCATTGCAATCTGTCTGAAAGCGACCGGTCGCTTGCACCTTGCGACCGGTCGCTGGTCACGATTTCCAGCTTCTCCTCCAGACTTCGAATCTGCTTCAAAACGACCGGTCGCAAATACCCAGCGACTGGTCGCTTCCTCCTTCACTTGCATACTTAATGTGAGCCATTTTTCCAACAATCTACACAGATGCATATATATAAATATCTTTTACATTTTTCATTTTTTCCATGTCTGCTCCTATCATTGGATGATTTGGTCCATTTTTGCAGGTGCATGTGTACAAATCTTTAATGTCCCAATTTGGAGGGAGTCAGTCATTTATTTTGAATTGCAATTCAACATCAAGAAGTGAAGAAAGCATAGAGTGCGAAGAATGATTTGTTCTTGGTACACTGTTTTCTTTTTTTCAAGCATGGATGACCAGGTGAAATTGTTACATGGAAGAATCTGCATTCCTAAAGCTGTGCTAAAACATATCTTTGTGTTAATCTTGTCAATTAATTAACCGGAGGAGCTCTGTAATATGATAGCACTGTCACAGGGAAGAACATTTGTCTTACTCCTTCAGAGTTGATTATGGGGAATATGATCCATGATGCACCCTGCAAAAGATTTGGAAAAATCAAAATAATTATAAGAAGGGCATTGTTAGATGCAACTAAACGTCACAATGAATGGAGATATTTACACACCAAAATCAGTCTAGCTCCAACCCACATGCGTCTGGGTGAAGGAAATGGAATCAACAAGCGCCCAACAGCATAGACAGCCACAGCACAGAAGTGAAGAACCAAGCTCAATGGACGAGGGTTTAGACCGGAGAGAAGCGCCAGAGGTCCGTTTGAGAAAACACCTCCGAGGCTCAAGTAGTCGAAGCATGCTTGGGTCATTTCCTTCCTTGCCGGGTCAGGGGATGCACAGAACACCTTGTATAGTGCACCTGCCAATGTGTTTATGGTAGAAGCCACAGGCTGCACCAAAACAAATCAGCATTGGCCTCATTAAGTACTTTCTTATTGAAATGCATGGTGGGCATAGGAGACTTACCTTGCGAAGGGTATAGAAGGATTCGAGGTATTTGCAAAGGGCAGGTGCATCATTCAGATTGTGCAGAGGTCTCAGAAGGTTCCTCAGAACAACAATGTCTGATAGAGCCACAGTCATGCCTCCTCCAGTTAAAGGATGCCTCATGTTGACAGCATCCCCCATTAGAAGGGCACCAGGCTTAGGATGAGGAGCAGCAGGCATGCTCCTATTGGGCATGGATTTTACGTTTCCTTTATCAGTGGCAGCCATGAAAGCGGCATACATCTCAGGAGGAACCTGAGGTATTCAATTTACCCCTTAGACATCAAAACAATGAGGGGTGGTATTTAGATCACATTTACTGGTCACCTTGCAAAATGGTCAGTAAATGTGGTCCAAATAGTTTTATTCCAAAACAGACTGTGAAACACAATATACATACCTGGGGTGCCACTTTGGTTTTCAAGTAGTGAGCCATTTCACCACCAGAAATGCAAGGTACTTTTTGGCCTGGTACATCAACCAGACACCGAATCTCTGCGCTGCTGATAGGATAAAACAGTATCGGTGAAGGATCTGCCAAAATTACATGCCCGTGGTTTGCGTATGGAAGCTGGCAATTCTCCAGAACCAAACCAACAAAACAAGAAGGAATATCAACCTGCAGAAATAAAATGAAAATGAATTGCTTTTCAAAAGTTCGTGTGTATCTCAATCGATTATTCTTTCTTGTTTTTGTTATTTTACAAGATTGGCATGTTATCTTCACCTTAGGATCGCAGAGAGAGCGCCGCAGGTTTGAGTAGCATCCATCGCATACTATCGTGAGAGGAGCATGTGCAGTGAGATCTAGGTCACCACCTTTGGATTTATACTGCACCCCTTTGATAGTACCTTTTTCTTCAAGCAAAGATGTCACTGTTCCTTGTTCCAATCTTACACTGATGTTGAATTTTTTATAAAAAAAAATGGACAGGTCAGCAGAGTATGTAAAACTCTTGATCGAAAGTTTGACATACAAAAATCATATTATAACAGTACTTAAAAGAAATGACTGAAGCATCAAGCAGAGAGAAACCTCCACGTTTTAAGTTCTCTACGGCTTTTGGATTACAAAACACATGGCCAGCCTAGTGAAAGCAGAATAGTTTGAAAGCATTTAAAGGGAGGAAGAATACTTGGGAAGAGATGAAGCTTTTTGACGCATCCTTTGAATGAAACGCCCATGGTGAAAGCTTCTCCCAGCCACATCTGGATGGAAGTTTTCCAAAGGATATGGCAACTTGGTACTTTTCCCATCCTTGTAAAGAGCATATCCAAAAACCCGCTGAGCATCAATCTCACTCACACAATCTTCAACCAAAAAGGCATATAAGCAATTAGCCTAAATTCAAAGATGAAAAGGATAAAGAAAGTTCAACTAATTTAGAACCTGCAGGAATTATAAGTACCATATGCCTGAACTCCTTGCTTACCCTCAAGGCCCAACTCAATTAATTTCAGGTAGCCCCCTGGTTGTAGAAGTTCACCAACGATTCTATCTGGCTCAGCCAAGTCTCTTTCAATCACATGCACTCGGCGCCCTTCCTGTAATATGCAGACATTGTAAACGAAACATTACAATATATTTTTTGGTCTGCAACATTGTAATATATAAGATCTGTATCCCATTTATCATTAGGCCCAAACCAAGAAAATTTGAGGAACAAAGACAAGACATGATAATTTAGAACAGTGAAATTGCAATCTCAATCTTGATGTTAATACATACAAGCTAACAAAATTTTATTTAAAATATTTTCCAAATTATTCAAATTCAGCTGATCTGGGAGACCCCAAACAGATGTCAAAGTCTTCTATAGTTCTTATTATTTCTTCCAAATCAAGCAGAAATAGAATCCCATAGAAAAATGAAACTATTATTACATACTTTGCATGAACTTAATGACCATCCTGATCTTGAACACATAAAAGTTTAACCATTGATTTCCATAAAACCTTAAACCTCAACCAGTTATGTATCAAATTCAAACAAATATAGAAACAGGCATGAGCCCCTAAGGGAGTAGGGAGTTAGAGAATGTCACCTTCCCAAGAGTGTAAGCAAGCGCCGAACCAACAACCCCAGCACCAACAATGATAATGTCCGTACTTGTACTTATCTTCGCCTCACAAATTCCATTTTCAGAGCTCTTCAAACAGTTCCCATTCTGATCAGTCTTCACTAAAGCTCTGGCCTTCTTCTTCCCTCTTAGCCTGTACAAGAAAGCAAACCCCAGCAGTGAAGCTATGACTGCACCAAATATATTCTGGTAAACCATCTCCAAAGATTGGTGCAAAAAGGGTTAAAGAAGATTATGGTGACACTCTCTGAATTTAAGTTTTTTTCAGGTGCAAGTGTTTGAGTTTGTGCTGAGACTAAACTTGGCGCCTTTATATAGAGTGAGCCAAAGTTCAAAAACTGTTTTTCGGCATTGTAAATTTTTGTGATAGAAACGTGGAAAAGTCATGCGCCCACCATTGTAAAGGGGTTGTTTACCAGGCCAAATTAGAAGCCCACAAAGTAAATTATTTGTATATGAATGCACAGGAAATTTAAGGACAATTTTCCATCATGTAGTGGCAAAATTTGAATCTGAAATTGTCAATGTTTTGAGGTCTTGGATTTTTGGAGCTAACCAGTACAAGATTTTATGTCCATGGTAAGTGAGTGAGTGAGTTCTCCAAGTAAGACTTGATGTAGTCAAGAGAGGGGTTGGTAAGGTGTGAGATGGATGATATGTTTAGTGCAAACTATTATATTCCAGCCATGCAATGCAAGGTCAATATATTTTTTTCCTGGGTTTTAAAAACCATGGGTGCCAAACAGGGGGAAACAACTTGTAGTGTTAATTAAAAACAGAAAAAGGTAGGGAGGAAGAAAATAACTTCTCTGATTCTGTAAACAAAGTACAGCATATTATTATGACTTAGAATAATATGTCAGAAAGGTGGCTGCTGGGTCAATATGTATTTGTTTAATTGAATAAATAATTTTTTATTTTCTTTGGATATGATGGAAATTATAGATCATGTAGTGTATTGAATGATATATTTTTAAGTACACTTTAAGAAAATAAAAAAATAAAACTCAGGCATGAATTTCCACCTGAAATTTTTACAAGGGAGAATCTGTCTTCATACAAATTAGCTTATCTTAAAAGGTTGAAAAGCTGTGTTTCACCATTCTTGTTTTTTGTTTCTCTGGGTATGTTGTTTATGTCATGTCAAATGATAGGAGGACCTATGAGATATGATTGCAGGCCAGAACATTTGTCTTATTCCTTCAGCGTTGATTATGGGGAAAATGATTACTAATCCAACCTGCAAAATGGGAAAAACTAAGAGGTATAAGGTTGTTCATTTAGTTATAAATTAGGAAATTGACAGGCTTTACATGTGAGTAAAAGTCACGATGTCTTGTGTTACAAGTTAACAACCCAAATGTTTCTATACTCTCTAACATAGGGCTCCTAATATTGTGGTGGGACCGATGGAGGACTCGAATGATTGTCATGTGGGTTGCGAAAAAATTTAGGAAAATATTAGGGTTTTGCAGCATTTTGTTTTTTCCAATAGAGACCAAGATCAATCTGGCTACACTCCAGATGCGGCTTGGTGAAGGAAATGGAAGTAAAGAGCGTCCAACAGCATAAAGACCTACAACAAAGACCTGGAAAATCAAGCTCAATAGACAAAGGTTTAGACCAGAGAGAAGAGCAAGAGGTTTATTTGAAAAGGTGCGTCCAAGGCTCAAATAGTCGAAGCATGCTTGGTGCATTTCCTTCCTTGCTGGATCAGGGGATGCACATAACACCTTGTACGCGGCACCTGCCAATGTGTTTATGGGAAAAGCCACTTGCTGCAGCAAAACTATCTATGTAAATTTACCACTAAAGTTGAGCACAAAATCAAGACCCATAGGCCTCATTAAGAACTTTCAAATAATTTCTCATTGAAATGATGTTAATGATGTTCTGTGAAGACAAAATGCATGAAAATAGTATTAGATAGGCATAGGCTGCTTACCTTACGTTGGGTATAGAAGGACTCAAGCAATTTGCAAAGGGAGGGTGAATCATTGAGATTGTGCAGAAATCTTAGAAGATTCCTTACAACAACAACGTCTGATAGAGCCACAGTCATGCCTCCTCCAGTTACAGGATGCCGCATGTTGACTGCATCCCCCATTAGAAGGGCACCTGGGGTGGGATGAGGAGCAGCAGGCATGCTCCTATTGGTCATTGATTTTATATTTCCTTTCTCAGTGGCAGCCAAAAAAGCATTATTCAGCTCAGGAGGAACCTGAGAATTATACAACCAGATTGATTAGTCCAAAAGGTCAGATGAGCACCTTGTGTAGCTGCCAAGTACACCCTATACATACATACCTGGGGTGCCACCTTTGTTTTCAAGTAGTAAGCCATTTCACCGCTAGAAACAGAAGGTGCTTTCTGGCCTGGAATATCAACGAGACAGCGGATCTCAGTGCTGCTGATAGGATAAAACAATATGAGTGAAGGATCCGCTAAAATTACATGCGCATGATTTGCATATGGAAGCTGACAATGCTCAAGAACCAAACCAACAGAACAAGAAGGAATATCAAGCTGCAGAAATAACAACGACCATGGTCGATTTGGTATGTGAAAATTCAAATATACATATATATGTCAATCTATTTATGTTTTCTTGTTATTTAACTAGATTGACATGAAATTTTCACCTCAGGATTGCAGAGAGAGCATCGCAAGTTTGAACAGCACCCGTCACATACAATTGTGAGGGGGGCATGTGCAGTGATCTCCTGATGACTACCTTTGCATTTATACTGCACTCCTTTGATATTACCATTGTCTTCAAGCAGAGATGTCACTGTTCCTTGTTCCAACCTTACACTGGTGTCAAAACGTTGAAGGAAGACATGAATTTCAAGTATGCAAATCTTATCTTGTAATATTGAACTATGTTTGTATAGTAGAAACTAGGAACATTCAGAAATCAAATTATAACATTAATTGAAAAATTAAGGACCCGTGTAGAGAGAAAGTCCAAGTTTTCAAGCTGGCTACCAGTTTGAAGATATATGAGTAATGCGACATGTACCATATTTATGAGGTATGAGTTCAGCAATATGGTACACAATGCCAGGCTAGTGATTATTATGCATGTCTTACATGTTCCAACTATTTATAAAGTAGTATTTTCTTCAATTTCTAGGCTACAATATCAAAGAAGAAAATTTGGGAGTGTTTGAAGGGAAGAATACTTGGGGAGAGATGAAGCTTTTTTGCGCATTCTTTGAATGAAATGCCCATGGTGAAAGCCCATCCCAACCACATCTGGATGGAAGTTTTCCAAAGGATATGGCAACTTGGTTTTTTTCCCATCCTTGTAAACAGCAAATCCAAAGACTCGCTGAGCATCAATCTCCTTGACACAATCTAATTCAGCCACATACACATATTAGCGATCAGCATAGATGTCTAACATAAAGAGGAAAAAGAGAATGAAACCACTTTACAACCTGCAGAAATTACAAACAAATTATGCAAATCATGTGAGTCTTAAGGTTCATTCTTGAGACTATAATATAGGCATAAATTCCTTGCTTACCCTCAAGGCCCAACTCAATTAATCTCAGATAAGCCCCAAGTGGTAGCAGTTCACCAACATTTCTATCTGGCTCAGTCAAGTCTCTTTCAATCACATGCATCGGCGCCCATCCTGCAACATATACGCAGATGTTGTAACTGATCACCATCTTAAGCATTAAAAAGAAATAATATACGTTCAACCAATTCCATAAACCAAATGAATCCAGCATACACCTTAAACCTCATCAAGTTATATATCACAACAATATGTACAAAAGGCATAGAGATCCCTTAGAGTGTGAGACTGTCACCTTCCCAAGGGTGTAAGCGAGTGCCGAACCAACAACCCCAGAACTAACAATGATAATGTCCGTACTTGCACCTATCTCTGGCTGGCACATTCCATTTTCACAGCTCTTCAAAGAATTCTCATTCCCATTCTTTGCTGAAGCTCGGGCATTTTTCTTCCCTCTTAAACTGTAGGAGGAAACAAACCCCAACATAAAAGCTATGACTGCACCCAACGTTTCATAAACCATCTTGAAAGATTGGTACAAAATGGGATAGTGCACCCTCTGAATTTTTTTTCATGTGCATGAGTTTGTGCTGAACTTTGCCGCCTTTATATAGAGTGAGTTGTTCAATAACTCCTCTCTTGGCTTTGGAGCAGAGGCTTATACGTCCCCCTAACAATCACTTGGACATGAGCATTACGTGGGTAGATGAGAGAAGAAACACGTATATATAGTTTCGTTCGTTCCATCCCAGAATTTTTGCTAAGCAAACTTGTTCAACTAGAGGCACAATCTTTGCCAGTGTGCCGGTGTCTGCTTTCACACCCATCTTTGCTCAATCCAAGTTTCGTATCCGTAAGATGCAACCAAACTACGAAATTCAAAATTTAAGAAAATAAAGAAGAGCTATAATCAAAATGTTTCTTAGAGAACTATTATCAAACACCTGGTGTGCAGGTTTGGAACATAATTATGCTTTACAATTCTAAATGTTTCTTCTTTCTTTGTGCTTTACTATTCCTTCTTCAGAGTGTTGATTATTGGGTCAACAGCCAAAATGTCCAAAACCTAGAAAAAGGAAATTGAAAACACGATTACCCAAAATAAAAGAATGGGAGAGCAATTTAGAAGATTATGCAAAATTAAAAAGCCCAAGCTCCAATCTTGAAGGCGGCAGCTATCAGATTATGCTAATGGAGGTACGTTGGAAGCGGAAAGAGGAAGAAGAAGTGTAATGTAATCTGTTCTTTTCTTAAGCACATTTTGCCATACGACAGCGTTTAATGTGAGCAGAAAAACCAAACAACCTTTGGGTTCCGCACTAATTACCTAGTGGACCACCTACAAAGGATAGTTATGACTATAATAATTCGAACATGAAATCATTGGCCTACGAGTTAAAGCCTTTTTTTAATTGAGTTTGAGTCGAGATTCGTGGTTAGGTACCATATCAAGTTGTCACTTGAATTAACTTTGGACGAACTATTTCTTTAATATTAAATTTAAAGTTTGGACAAGTTCAGACTGAACCTACCGAAATTGAACCATATACAATTAGTATGGTTGGGCAAGTGTTAGGTTAAATGGTCCTCTCCTCTCTTTGGACCGTTACATTAAACATACTTCAAACGTCGCACATCACCGCAAATATTGTTATCTTTCTCTTCACAGCACGCCAAAATTGATATTCCAAATCTGCCTAAACACCATTATTTCACACAACTCGTGAATAATAATGATGCAGAAGAAGAAAAATACAAGAAGAAAATGAAGCAAACCACAATTTTCAGCCCATTAAATTTTGGTGGTCCCTCCAAATATAATATCCCCTCAAGTCACATACGTGATATGTCATGCATAATGCACAAGAAAAAATCAAGCCGAGACAAAATCATATTAGTTTGAAAATGGAAAAGCCAAAAGCATATTCGTGTGGAACTCTGAAAAGCAAAAAGCCAAAAGCAGGGGTAGTTGAGAGCCTGAAACTTGCAAGAGTTGAAAACTTTAACGTGTAGAATTTGATTAAGCCAAAAAGAAAGTTTAAAGTGTAGATTATTTACGAACTGCTAGAGATCTTGATACAAGTTTCTTTGGGAAAATCTTGTTCCCCATTTGCAGAACAACAAATACGTTAAAAAGAATTAAGAACATATATATATAATTGCTTTCTCTCTCCTAATTTCAGCATTGACCCTCTCCTTGATTTTTATTTTTTGGGAGAAGTCTTGCTGATTTGATACAACTTAGTTTCCCATAGCAATTAAAAAAGAACTGGGGTAACAATATTGTCTTTGTTTTCTTCTTCTTCTTCTCAAAATGCTTTTAGCTTGTTTTC